TACTACTGTCCGCATCTCAGAGGGGAAAACACTCAGGACATTGTAGACATCTTCCCCAAAGGCACATAGCTCATGCCTGGCTGAGATGGTATAATTCTAAATTCAGTGATTCTTTTCTTACCCCAACAAGAAAAGGAGGATACTCTGAGTGCAGGAATTCAACCTGTGCGATGATGTGGTTGTGGCTCCAAACCCAGTCAAGAGGTCGGTCTTGGAAAAGCTCACTATTTGGCCCAGAATGAGGCCTGGATGGTCAGGGAAAAGGAAGTATAGTCACTCAGGTACCTTCCCAGGACATCTGGTTGGGACTAGAGAAGACAGGTGCTTGCTTTGGGTTGGTTTTGTTTGTCTAATAATAGAAAACATTGATAGATGTACCAAGGTAGTTATATACCCATTCCATCTATACTGCTGCCCTATGAGGGAGATTCTGTTTCTATCATATCCATTTTACAGATACAGTCATCGAGGCACAGAGAAATAAAGTGACTTGTTTGAGGTCACATGATTTGTAAATGACAGAGCTCACTGCATTCAAGCCCAGGAAGTCCACCCCAGAGCCCTGCTCTTAACTGCCACGCCATGTTGTTTTTTGATCACAAGAATGGCATGTGAGGAAGGAAATAACAAACGGGATCCACCAAGAGGAAATTCCCAAAAATAGAAAAAGTCACAGTCAGTGGGACATTGAGCCACTTGCCTCTAGATGTGAGATACACCATCCCAGGACAGAGGACAGTCATGGAGAAATCCTGCTGGCCAGGCCAAGGTGGGAACACCACCCAAGCCAAGATAGTCACATCCTACTCCCATCTCTGAACCCAGTGACCTACGCCGAGCGTGTAGGACCACAGGCAAAAAAGGGAAGGCTGGAAGAGCACAATTTACTCCTTATTGGTTAGGGCCCCAATAAGACACTTCCTTGAACTCACTATGTAGCCCAGGCTGGCTTCAAACTCATGCAATCTTCCTGCCTCAGCCTCCTGAGTGCTGGGGTTACAGGTGTGGGCCACCATGCCTGGCCAGCAAGACACTTAGAAGACAAGCTGTCAGTTTATCCTTTGTAGCTAGCGTTCCGCTGTGAACAGACAGTTAGGCCAGGCACAAAATGGGCATTGCAGAATGGGCCAGCAGTGTGCTGTTTATGAGGAGGTTAATCAGAAGGCCCAGAAAAATAAGAACTAATAGTAGGATGGTGAGCACTTGTGGTCTAGGGTCACAGGCTGGGCCGCTTAAACCCTCCAAGCCTTGGTTTCCTTATCTGAAGACAGAGGTAACCACCTGCATGTGGCAAGTTGTGGCCAGGTTGAAGGAGATGCCACCTGTAAAATATTAGCATAGGACAGAGCCTGGTACAGAGTGAGGTTCAGTGCGTAGTAAGACCTATTTTTATCAACGGCAAGTCCACCTGACATGAATTATTAATAGCTCAAGGAACAAGCCAAAGTGGTTTGGGTGCCTTTTAAAGACATATTGAAGGAAAGAAGACCAGGACGCTCTGAGAGAGCATATCACAGCAATCCACGCAGAGCGGTCACATGAGCTAAAGTATGAGAAAGTGCTGTCAGCCTAGGTGCCCTCGGTGGCATGGCTGCTCTGTGACTACACAAGTCTCAGTGTGTCCACTGATGTCCTCACATCGCATACTGACAGGGCTTCAGAGCCCGTCTTTGAGTGATGTCAGAGGGAGCTTAGGTACGCAGAGCATACGTTACTGGAGGGAACATGGGTCTACATCATCCTGCACAGAAGTGATCCTAAAATAAGATAATTGAAGGCTGCTGGGGACTACAGAGAAGTCAAGCAGAGGAGCTGGCAGAGGAAGCAGTTGACACAGGTCTTGGAACAGACCCCGAGACTTTGGCCAAGTCATTTAACATTATGGCCCTTGTCTTATTCATCCTCCAAGCAGATAAAGTCATACTTGCCCTGTTTTCCTTCCCAACCTTGGGGTGATGGGTAAAACGGTGGGGGCAAAGGTACACAGAGTAATCTCTGTGCTGCAAGCCCACGGTGGGGGCTGGCAAGTGAGTGAGCCTTATTGTCACCAGGGACATGAACGAGGCATTAGAGAAAAGGCTGAGCACTAGGAACGCAAGAGGGGCTGTTGCTGGATGCGGACAGGGAAGCAATAGTGAGATCAATACTTTGAAAGGCCAAGGACCAGTGAGAACAGGCTCGGAATACCAGGAACCTGGATGTGGTAGGAAGATGTCTGTTTCAGGGTGGAGTGGAGACTTCCTACGACCACAGTAATCCAGGGCTTGGACACATCACAGGGACAGGGAGCTGCCAGAGCTGCCATGGCCCGGAGAAGAGGTTATTCTGGATTTGACCTTGGAGAGATGTTGTCTAACCCTCATTTTTTTGTGGTTGTTTTTGATTTTCAGTTGTTTGTTTTTTGAACCGGGAGAACCTAGGTGACCCTTGAGGTCCCACAGAAGTCTTCAGGTCCCTGGCTCAGCTTCATTGTTTTAATGAGGTGGGAAAGGAACCCCAGGAAAGGGATGTGATTGTCTGAAGGTCACATAGCAAGTTAGCTGCCAAGTTGCAACTGGAACTGAGTCTTTCTGGTTTCTAGACATCTCTGTTATTCTCCCCAAGTGGCTGTGTGTGCAGGAAAGAAGAGTGAAGCTTTCAGGTGTGTTTCATAAGTGAGACGATCCCTTCACCTAACATCTCCCCCAGCTGCCCGACAGTGCGACACCTCCTTGCCCTCTCACTTCTGGGACTTCAAGAGTTTGAAAGAGAAGTCACTTAGCCCACCTCCCCTCTCAACTTCTCACGGAAGGGTCTGCTCTCCCCTCTTTCTCTAATGCTGTACCCCATGACAGAAACTCTTCATTGGATCTGCCTCACTGTAGCTTCCGACCATGTGTCTCAGCACTGCCTTTAGCCACAAGCACCCTGGGTCCCCTGCCTCAGGACAGCTCCCATCCGTCTTCCCCCAGTGACTTTCCAGGCTATGCCTTGCACTGTTCTCGGTTTTCCAGACTTCTTTCACTTTTGACTCCCTGGTCCACTACACTGTGTATTTTCGCTTTGCTCTCCCCTATTGTCCAGCACTGTGTATGGTATTGCTGGGGGCAAAATTATTAAAGCAGGTGGGGCCCTTCCTCCATCCTGGGCATCACCCTGCACCCATGCATCCTCAGATCGCAATGACTTATTTTGCATTTCACCTTACACTGCCTGAGATATCACTACTCTATACTATTCTGCTAGTCCCACCATTGCCTTGATCCACACTTGGCCTGTTGTTTCATTTAAGGGCCTAAGAGCAGGGCCTTGTGCTCCTTGCTAGGAAACTTTTGCTTTGTTGAGTTCCGCCTGCAGTTCTTAGCAGGATATTTCTGGATGCTGGCTGTGTTTCTTCTGGCGTATCCCTTCTCTGCAAAAGGACTGGGAAAAGCCCCTTTTCCTCTCCAAAGCAAGTTCTGAGCCCTCTGTGGGCCAGACTCTCCCTGGGTCATCTAATCTGTGTCCTACCCCAGAGCGACTCATTCTCCTGCTCTGTGGGCCTAGAGGACATAAGGACGTGGAGCACGCCATGCCAGAATGTCAGGTGAGGAAAGCAGAATACCACAGAGTTTTAAGGCCTAGAGAAAAGGAAGGAGATGCGACAGTTATCAGTAACGGCCTCTGTGCAGTGAGACTGTGGGGGACACCCCCACACTTTATTACACTCTTCATTCACCCCATACTTAATAGAAGCCTTACGTGTGTTTCTCAAATTTTCTACACTGAGCGTGCATGATTTGGGAAATGAGAAGAAAAAAAGTGAAAAATAAAGTGAACATGAGCAAAGGCTTTTCCCCAAAGTGGACCTGGATAATTCCCCAGCATTCTTTGGGAAGTGGAATTCAGGGCCACCCTCACTCCCAGTGTCCAGTCTTCCACTATATCTCCCCTTCCTGCCCACAGGGCACTGGGACATCTCAACAGTCGCCTCCCACCTTGCGCACTTTGGTCCAGGAAGAGCCCCGCCCTTGCTTAGCAGGACAGGACTTGGGAAGGAAACACCAGGACTACCGGGGTGAGAGCCAGGGTTTGCTTGGGACACAACTCGAAGGCCTGGCTAGCACTTCAGGAGTTTCTCCAGGGCTGTTTTCGCTTCTCTTTGAGGAAGGCATTTAAAGCTACTTTCAAACCAACAGCTTTTGGAAAAGGAGAGAAAAGAGCAAAGAGCAGGGACTGTTGGTTGCAGTATTCGGACGCAGTCGTAGATGGGGAGGAAACGGACACAGCCAGGACGATGCACTCGACTTCCTAAGGCCGGATCTGGGTGAAGAGCCAAGGGCCTCCTTTTGCCCTTCTCCCTGAAGTCCAAAGGAAGTTTGGAGCCCCGCCAGGGCTCAGTGTGGTAAGGCCCAGAGCTTTGGCCCAGGGCAAAGCGCCTCAAACCGAAGGCATAGGAGTAGCCCTGCCCTACCGCCCTCTCACCAGCAGAGGGCGCGCACCGCCCGCGAGAAGGAGGTGCGGCCGCAGCCCGACAGGGAGCTCACAGCTCCGGAAGGGTGGGAGGGAAAACTGGTAAAAGTGAACCAGACAACCGGGGAGACCCGGGGCGGCGGGCGGGTGTGAGCGAGCGAGACGGGGTGGGGGTGAAAACTGGCTAAGAAGAGAGGGTGGGCGGGGAAGCGGGCAAGGATGGTGGAAAGGAACAGAGACCGGAGGCGAGGGGCCAGCGGCGGGACGGGGAGATGCGAGCAGATGGGATGAGGTGCATGAGGGCTAGAGGATGCGGGGCGTGGGGTGCGATGGGGTGAGAGGTCAGGGAGGGGGAGAGGTCGGGGAGGTAGCAGGTCGTCTGCCTCTCTCTGGCTGAGCCCACCCCCAGGGGCTCCTCGCTCTGGCCAGCAGCACCCAGGCCTGCTGTGCCGCGGCCTCTGGAGCTCTCCCCAAACCTTTCTGCTCGGACGTGGGCGTGGGCGGGGCCTCTCCCTCCGCTCCCCTGCAGAAGGGTCCTGGAGCAGCGAAGAATCAGAGAGGAGGCCGCGGGGAGCTGGGGAGCTTTAATGGGGCCGAGAGGGAATAGAAACACACCGGGCTCTTCCCCCAGGACGTGGGGAGGGGGGAGACGGGGCCCAGGAGTCTTGGGGGGCTGTGGCCTTTGCCAAACCTGCTCCAGGCCCAGGAAGAGGCCTCCAGGTGCCGGGAGGGACAGGTCCGTGGGGGAGAGAAAAAGTGAAAAAAGATTTGGAATTGAGAAACAAGGTCACAGTGGAGGGGGCTTCTAGGAGCGAGAGCGAGGTCAGGTGGAGAAAAAGAGGAGCGAGGTAAAATAAAGAGGGGGGCTCGGGACGAGGTGGGGCAAATCTAGAGTTGAAGGAGGATGAGGTGGCGTCCGATGCGGGGGTAGGGCGGCGGGCGGAGTAAAATCTGGGTTTAAGGAACGTGGGGCGAACTCATCCCTTCCCCGGGGTGAGGATGGGACTGGGCAAGGCGGCGGGGAGGCCGCGCGCGCGGCCGGGCGCCCCGTCTAGTGGTAGTGACCCCCCAAGTGCGAGGCGGCGGCCACAGCGCCGAAGGGCCCGGGCGGGGGCTGCAAGCCCGGGCTCGGGTAGAGCGCTGCGGTGGCG